CATGCTTGGAAAGTTTTTCTATCAAATGCATGCTTGCATGAACAAATTTCTTATGCCATAACCATGGGTCATCAGATATGGATGTTAAACAGATATGACCGTCTGCATTTTTAAATCCATCAAGAATATAAACATTTCCATACCTTTTACCTGGGAGGAATATTTTACCTGTCTCATCTTCAATAGCACAACCTGTTTTCTTGAACTTTACTTCATACCCTGAGTCGCATAGCTGACTTATACTCAGAAGATTGTAGTTAAGTCCGTCAACAAGATAGACCTCAGTGATATCACAATTATTATTAAAAGGGACTGTTCCGGTACCGACTATTTTTCCTTTTGAATCATCACCGAACTTAACACTTCTTCCATCTATTTTTGTAACTTCCTTAAACAGGTTTTTTCTCACCTGTCATGTGACTGGAACACGCACTATCTAAGTACCATTTTCCTTTGCGACTCCTCCTGTGGTGTTCCTGCAAAACATAGTGATTACTTTCTTTTAGGTACCCAAGCTTGCTTGGGTCCTGGTTGGTTAGTATTACTCGACTCAGGATTGTTTTCGGGTTTCCAAATTCATCTTGAAATATTTGATTTTACGAAACCGATAAAAGGAATATTTATGTCCACTTTTGTTACAGTAGTGACACGTAACTCCTGATCCATTTTTGGATCTTTCATTAGTGTTAGTACTAGTGAACTCTATTCTGGCTGGTCCTTCTCCAATTGACTTGTAAGTCATCTAGTTTGACTTGACAGAACTGTGACTGGTGGATTTGCGCATGCCATTGAGTTGCATTTGCAATTCCTCAAACTTTTCTTGAAGTACTTCTTTTTCAATTTCACATACCTCATGTGTGAGTTTCCAGTCTTTTACTTCTTTGTTGAGTCTCTTCAGTTCATTCATCATTTTTCGAGACTCTTTCAAAGTATGGTCAAGAATATCCTGCAATTCATTACACCTTTCACGGGTATAAGATCTTACCTCGCTTGTTTCACCTCGTGCCCTGAAACAGTTCTCATTGTCATCTTTGCGTTCATTGTCTGAAGTGTCCTCATCTGTCTAGCATCCTGAGAGTTCGTTCATGTCATTTTCCAGAATTGTCATGAAGCAAAGATTCGCTATCTCTTCGTGTTCTGAACTGTCTTCATCACTCCAGCTTCCAAATGATTTGTTCTTGTTGAAACTCTGGAAATTTTCTTTTTAGATCAGGACATTCAGCTTGAACATGTCCAAATCTTCCACACTCATAGCATTTGCCATTATTTTTGTCTTGTTCATTATATTGCCTGGATCTCCTGGGTGGCATCCTTCCTTTTCTCGCATTCCTGTATCTTCTTATTAAACCATCAATGTTCCTTGACACCATGGCAATCTCTTCTTGAAGAGCTTCAGGGTCATCATCGATATCATTTTCTGCTTTTTCAGTTGTGGCCTTGAATGCAACTGTTTTCTTCTTTTCTTCCTGGTTTGTTTTCTTGAGATGAGTTTTCACGAATGATATGAGTTCTCCTCGAAGTTCATCATATGATAGCTTATTCAGATCATGTGATTCAAGTGTAACCACTTTTGTCTGCCAAGTAGTAGGTAGGCTTCTAAGAATCTTCCTAACTTGATCACCACTTGAGTATGGTTTGCCCAAAGCTTTTAGATCGCTAATGGTTTTGCTGAATCTGGCAAACATCTCTTCAATAGATTCTCCTTCTTTCATCTAAAAGAGTTCATAGTCATGAACCAACATGTTTATATGTGTTTCCTTTATTTTGTTGGTTCCTTCATACGTAACTTCAAGTTTATCCCACATCTCTTTAGCTGTATCGCAACTAGAGATTTCTCATACTCATCACCACTTATAGCATTGTAGAGCAGATTCCTTGCCTTATTGTTAACTTGCACAACTGCCATCTGCTCATTTGTATATGGATCTATATTCTTCAGGATCAGCAAGTGGTTAAGCGGCGGCCGGCAGAGGATAGTTTCCCTTTTTGATAACTCTCCGGACTTTAACATCATAGGCCTTTGCTTATTTCCATACGCACTTTCCAGTAAGAAATATTGTCCATTGAAGTACGGTGTCTTGACTTGCGATGTTCCTTCTTAGAAGAGTGCTCCGATAGTAACTTGATTCGCCATGATCTTTTCTCACAAGCTGTTAAGCAAAAGAAAAATGTAACCCTTGCTCTAATACCAATAGAAAGTACAAGAGGGGAGGATGAGTTGTTTATTTTTATATTTTGATCGCTAAAAGTTGACTAGTTTTCTAATTAGTCGACTAGATGTAATAACGTGATAACAGTAAGAGCAGAATTTAAGATGCAGAAATAAAGTGCAAGAATTAAAGATACCAGAATTTTTATACTTGTTCGGATTCAATGTGAATCCTAGTCCAGTCCCCTTGGGTTGCAAGGGAGTTCTGTTTCAGTGAATGAGTTTCTCGAGTACAAAGTGAATGGTGTGGTTTACACCAATGGCTCAGTTCCTATATCACTCGTTTCTTTTTTATACAATGCCTCACCAGTATTTTTCTCTCTTTCTTCTCTAACTTGTTTACACAGCAGGTCTAGTAGAACTACAATATTTGTTTGCAGTAGAACAAAGAGAGGGTATTTGGTTCAATCAAAGTATGTTTGTCTAAGTCTTAAGGATGTCTATAAATACTTTGTACGAGGTCGTTTGCTGAAGAGATTTGACAACCCAAGAGATTTGATCCTTGAAAAGAGATTGATTCTTTCTAAGAATAAGGTTATTTGCCGTTGCTCTTCCTTGATGAGAGGGCATTGATAGCTTTCCTTCTACAGATCTTGATGACGCGGGTTTACTCCTTGATTGTTGGTCCTTGCGAAAATAGGAGCTTGCCGTTGCTCTTCCTTGATGAGAGGGCATTGATAGCTTTCCTTCTACAGGTCTTGATAACGCGGGTTTACTCCTTGATTATTGGTCCTTCCGAAAATAGCAGCTTGATTGATCATCTTGCAAGATCTTCGATGCTTCTTTTCCATTTCAATCAATCTCTGATTGATTCCCTTTCTGAATCACTAGTTGGTTGATTGATTCCTTCCTTTTGATTTCCTCAATCTTGGATGTTTTCCTTGAGTTCCTATACCAAAAGCAGTTATATTATTTTTCATCATTAAAACTAAAACCTAACACTATATAACGCTATAGCCTCTATTTATAAGTATAGTTATATGAGTACTTTATCCTTAATTAGATCTTATATTATATACCTTTATACTTGAAAACATTGTAAATCGAATGGAAGAGCAGAAGTTTACATTAGGGTTCCATGTTTGTGAAGGAGAGCAAGGGTTCTTTCATTAAAATTGAAAATGACCCGATGGGTCTTTCTAGAACAGTAACCCATTATTTATATAATGGGCTTCAGTCATCATCTGAACATGAAAGTGGGCTAAAATACAAAATGGCCCAAAAATAAAAGAATACAGCTAGAGGCTAATTAAATAAACTTATACAAAATATCAATGTTTGTGTTTAGGCTTAGATGCTAAGTAATCCATTAGCTCAACACCCCCCCTCAAGTTGGAGGGGGAAACCACCTTCAACTTTCCCAAAAGATCATGATGAAGAGCCCCAGGTAAAGGCTTGGTGAGAACATCGGCCAATTGTTGAGAAGTGGGAACATGAAATAGGGAAATCAGCCCATCAGACAATTTAGTCCGAATAAAGTGACAATCAACCTCAATATGCTTGGTCCGCTCATGGAAAACTGAATTCCTGGCTATGTGGAGAGCTGCCTGATTATCACAAAAGACAGAAAAAGGAAGAGAGACAGAAATACCAAGGTCAGTAAGTAATCTAGAAAACCAAGCCAATTCAGCAACCACTTTACTAAGGGCCCTATATTCTGCCTCAGCAGAGGATAAGGACACAACTGGCTGCTTTTTGGATTTCCAGCTGATCAAACTTCCCCCCAAAAGCACACAGAAGCCAGTGACAGATCTGCGAGTATCAGGGCATGCTGCCCAATCACTATCTGAGAAAGCATGTATAGAAAAATTAGGGGAATCTGAATAAAAAAAGTCCCAAATCCACAGATCCCTATAGATATCTGAGCACATGCAAAGCAGCAGACATATGAGGAACTCGAGGAGATTTCAAGAACTGACTCAAATGTTGAACAGCAAAGCAAATGTCAGGTCTGGTATGAGTAAGAAAGAGGAGTTTGCCAACTAGACTTCTATACTTGCCAGGGGAAGGAAACAATGCACCAGAGTCAGCATGTAATTTACTATTGAGATCTAAAGGGCAAATGACAGAGGAAACAGCAGCACAATCAAATTGTTGCAACAAGTCACACACAAACTTTTTCTGATTAAGAAGAACCCCACCAGGGACAGCAGACACCTCAATGCCCAGGAAATAGTGCAAAGACCCCAGGTCTTTAATCCTAAACTAGTCATCCAAGAACTGTTTAAGTGCAGAAATTTCAGCTGAATCATCCCCAGTTACAATGATATCATCCACATAAACCGCCAAAAGAACAAGACACCCAGGTTGACCCTTAATGAACAAGGAGTAATCATTAAGAGAGTGTGTGTAACCTCTAGAGTACAAGGCTTGAGATAACTTGGCATACCATTGCCTTGAGGCTTGTCCTCTAACCCCATAGAGGGACTTCTTCAACTTGCACACAAGAGGGGCGGAAACTGAGGGAGCAGAAGTACTAGAAATACTCAACCCTTGAGGCAGCTTCATATATACCTCCTCATCTAGGTCACCATGCAGAAAAGCATTATTCTACATCAGTTTGGAAGAGATCCCAGTGTTTTTTTAACTAGCCACAACAATGAGACACTTGACAGTAGNTCTTAATAACAGGAGAAAATGTTTCTGTGAAATCAACCCCTTCAACTTGAGTATCCACCCTAATGACAAGCCTAGCTTTATATCTTTCAACACTCCCATCAACCCTGTATTTGATTTTATAGACCCATTTACAACCTATGGGTTTTTTACCAAGAGGAAGAGGAACAATGTCTCAAGTGTGATTGGCAGCCAATGCATCAAATTCCTTGCTCATGGCATCCTGCCATGCTGGAACTAAAGCAGCTTGAGAGTAATAGAGGGGTTCAGATTCCAAAGGAGAAGTAGAAGAAGTGGATCCAGAAAAAGAAGGAAGCTGACACACATAGTCCTTGAGGTAAGAAGGAGTGTTGTGAAGTCTAGTAGACCTCCTAAGATCAGGTTGGGAGGAGGAAGGAGGAGGAATGGCAGGATCAAAATTTAGAGTAGAAGCAGAAGGGACAAGTTCAGGATTAAATGAGTTTGAAACAGGGGAAGGAATAGGAGGACTTGCAGGGACAAAGGTAGTTATCCCAGGATCCTGATCATCAGAAGCTGGAATAGTAGGAGGTGGAAAGAGAGAAGTAGGAGAAACAGGTGTAGAAGGTGTGGCAAAGGGAAAACATGTCTCATGAAATACATCCCTGGAGACAAAACATTTCTTAGAGGCTAGATCATACAACTTGTAACCCTTTTTGGCAAAAGGATAGCCCAGAAAGACACAAGGAATTGCCCTAGGTTTGAGTTTGTCTCTTTGGGGAATAGGCACATGTGAGTAAGTAGGGGTTTTACCATACAACACTTCATAAGGGGATTTGTTTTGGAGTATCCTAGATGGAATCCTATTGAGCAAGTAGGTAGCAGTCAATAAACAATCCCCCCAAAAGGATACAGGTAATTTGGACTGGAAAAGTAAAGCTTTACATGCCTCAAGAAGTGTTCTATGTTTTCTTTCAACTATACCATTTTGTTGAGGAGTGTGGGGGCAGGTAGTTTGATGAATGATACCCTGTTGGCTGAAGAAGGAAGAACCAACAAGGATGGAACCTAATTCCAAGGCATTATCACTTCTAATGGTCTGGACAGTAGTATTAAACTGAGTCTTAACCATTGCCAAGAAAGATTTAAGCATGGAGAAAGCATTGCTTTTAGAACCCAGTAGATGTGTCCAAGTAGCCCTAGAAAAATCATCAACAATTGTGAGAAAATATCTTGAACAAGAAGAGGTTGGAGTGTGGTAAGGTCCCCATGTGTCAATGTGAATTAGTTGAAAAGGTTTGGTGGTACTGATGGAGCTATCAGGGAAGGGAAGTCTAGTTTGTTTGGCCATAGGACAAATAGCACAAGGAAATGATTGTCTAGGAGCAAGAGAAGATGACAAAACAGAAATGTGTTTCATATTTGCGAAAGGAATGTGAGCAAGTCTTAAATGCCAAATGAGATTCATATCATTTGCATCAACATTATTACAAATGGAACTATTTACATTGGAAGACAATCCAAGAGACTTAGAACTAGAAGAACAAACAGGTTTACATGAATCAGACAAAGAACACACAGAAACAGATTTGCAAAAAATAGGAGGAGAATGTGAAGGTGGCACCCAAGTAAGCTTGTACAGACCAGCCTCCTCTTTACCAAGATCCAGAGGCATCCTCAGAGAAGGGGCCTGTAACATGTGCAGAAAATAGGAAGTTGCAGTAAACAAAACTATGCAATGCAACTGTTTTATCAGTTTGTGGACAGAGATTAAATTGTGTTGAAAAGAAGGAACAAACAGCACATTATGAAGAGTGATGAATGGAGTCAGAGCAAAAGATCCTGTAGAAGTTACTTTCACTTTGTATCCATTAGGAAGAGTTACAAGGTAAGGTATGGCTAAGGGTGTGATATTAAAGAGTAAGCTTTTATTAGATGTTATGTGGTCAGAAGCTCCTGAGTCTATTATCCAGGTGATAGAGTTAATTTTAGTAAGCATACAAAGCTTGGAATCAGAAACAGGGCTCTCAGTTAGTATAGTACCAGCAAAATTGGCAGAACACATGAGATTAGGAGCCTGAGCATTGGAATCTCCCAACTGAGTCTGTTGTAGCAAAGTTATCAGTTGATATTGTTGCCTACTCAGACCTGGAATCACAGACCCTTGACCATCAACATTTGGAGCAGACTGATGACTCTCAGTGAGATTTCCAACAAGGTCAGATGTGTGCTCCTCAGAAGAGTTAAGCTGAGAGCCAATGGTGGCATGAGCAGCAGCTTTCTTTCCTTTGTTGAATTTAGGGCTTTGTGGGTATCCATGAAGCTTGTAACACTTATCAATTAAGTGTCCAGATTTCTTGCAGTATCTACAGAACAGGGAGGCTTTAGTCTGGTCAAAGTTAACTCTTTGAGTATACTGCCTAAGAGGAGGGGAATTGGGTACTGCAGCTTGATTCACCCTAAAAGTAAAACCAGGCTTGTTGTTTGTATTAACATTGAAGGACATAGAATCAGGATTGAATTGGGAAATTGATTGGACTTGTCTTTGTTTCTCATCATTGAGGAGGATATTATAGGCACAATCAAGACTAGGAGGAGGTTGCATCATAAGCAAGTTGCTCCTTACCCCCATATATGTCTCATTTAAGCCCATGAGGAATTGGAATAACCTATTCTCTTCATCCTCCTGTATGATCCCAGGTTTGGCAGCACAAGTGCACCTTTGACCATGGTTAGTACACATTACCCCCAATTCATCCCATAACCCTTTCAGTTTATTAAAGTATGATGCTATGTCTAGAGGACCTTGAGAAGTATGGGTAAGTTCTCTTTTAAGTTCAAAAATTTTGGTCCTATTAGCTGTACCATATCTGGATTGCAATTGTGCCCATATACTCTGTGCAGTTTCAGAATACTGCACACTCTCAGCTATGTTAGGAGATAGAGAGGCAGTCAACCAGGAAATCACCATGTTGTTATACCTGTCCCACAACTTTTGTTCAACGACAGTGGTAGTTGGTCGGGGACACGTACCATCAACAAAAGCTATTTTATTCTTAGCTGATAAGGCCACTATCATCTTCCTTTTCCATCCCCAAAAACCACTACCCGAAAAGGGAACAGGAACGAGGGACACACCAAGAATGTCGGAAGAGTGGACAAAAAGAGGACTTGTGGGATCAGTATTAGTATTACTCATAGCTATTCCATAGAGAAAGGAATATAAGGATCAGGAACAACAGTGAAAGAGGGGAATTGCTTCAATTTTTGATACAACTATTCAACACACTAGATTTTCACCAAAAAAAACACACATGCAAATCCTTAATCATAAATGAGAACAAATTTACCCAACTTCTTCGCTACCGGATAAGAACGGCCTTCAAAATCAGTCGAAACCCTAACTCCGAGTGATACGAACCCAAAACTTGTAGCTCCGCCGGGATTAAGCTCAAAAACGTCGGAAAACCACCCAAAACGCTAAGCTGAGAAGACCGTCGACAGAAACTTTCCTCGTGTGAACCAAAAACTTCGATTCACCAACCACCGGAGAACCCAAAACTTCGATTCACCAATGAAAACTCAACGAAACGGAACTGGGGTAAGACCGGACGAATAATCGAGGAGAAACGTCCCAGAATCCATGCTCTGATACCATGAAAACATTGTAAATCGAATGGAAGAGCAGAAGTTTACATTAGGGTTCCATGTTTGTGAAGGAGAGCAAGGGTTCTTTCATTACAGTTGAAAATGACCCGATGGGTCTTTCTAGAACAGTAACCCATTATTTATATAATGGGCTTCAGTCATCATCTGAACATGAAAGTGGGCTAAAATACAAAATGGCCCAAAAATAAAAGAATACAGCTAGAGGCTAATTAAATAAACTTATACAAAATATCAATGTTTGTGTTTAGGCTTAGATGCTAAGTAATCCATTAGCTCAACAATACTGTCAGCTAAAGATTTACTCTAGAATTAGTTAGCTTTTAACCCCCCCCCCCCCCTCCACCCACCGCATCCCACCCGGTGCTGGACAAGTTTCAATAAAATACAAAACAAAAATTATATTTTCCAGGATTTAATAAAAGTTTACCCTCATTCAAAGAATCTCCGACCCCCAAAATATTTATATAAAAAAAGGCACAGGTAACCTAAGAACAACAAGTGACAAGATCGACAAAAATAAATTCAGACACTTTCGTTTCCTTTAAAGCATCCGCGCAAGAAAACCTTTGTTAGTACATGTAACTAAAGTTATGCCGGAGAAAAGTTACATAAATGTAAATCGAACTTTCTGACGTAATTCACAATAAATATCGATTTACCACTAGAACTATCTAATTTCCAAATTCCTGAATATCTCAACATATATTTCTTTTAAAAACAATATTTCCCAAATACATACTCCTATCATATTCTATCTTTCAGGTCAATATTACTTTATTATAATAAATTTCTTTCAATTAGTTATCAATAAATAATTTAAGAAACTTATGAAAGCTGGCATTAAGTTGGTTTTGACAGCGTAAAACTCGGGCTTTTGCTTGATAATCTGAAACTAATGAGGGTACATTGGACTCACACGTGTGTTCCGGTTTACACTCTATTTTTGTCTAACTTTAAATCTATGATCTGATTAAACACAACATTGATTGTTAATTTAATGACATTAATAATGATGCAATAGCTGGATTGTAGCAAGCCCCTGTGACATCCAAGAATGATAGCTACTCAACTCTGTGCACATGAGAAGATCAATATTGTTATAAATGCGTTCTTTTTAATATTCCAACTTCTTCTCTATGCAAAATGAATATAATTTCCTTTTTTTTTTTTTGCTCAAACGGATGATTTCAATGATAAGTTAAGTACGAGAATTACAGGAGATTAATTGACTACATTAGGTTTAGCAGGCTTAAATAAAATAATTTCTGAAAAATTAAACAAGTTCTTAGCATTTTAAAATTAGAATATTAGTTATGTTTTCAGAAAAATAAGGAATTCTATCATGATTTCGGATAGGTTGATAAATCAATTATCACATCCAAGGGCCTCAAGAGTAATTAGCCCTTTCCTTCTGGCTTTGAGCTCTTAAAATTATTCAATATCCCACATAGCAAAATAAGTAAAACAAATTTCTTGTACATGGATGTGATAATTGATTTCGGGAGGGGGATTGGGGTGGGGGTGGGGGTGGGGTGGAAGAGTAGTAGGGTGGGTGGTAACAGAAAAATTGAAATTTAAAAAAAAAAACCTTTTTTGGAGGGGAGGGGGGTGTGGATTGGTGAGGGTGGAGAATGTTGACGAGTTTTAGAAAATGTTTTCCCCTCTCTTGATAAGGAAATCATTTTCCTCCAATTGGAGGAAAATGAGTTGATAAGGAAAATATTTTCCAAAATATTTAAGCCAACCAAACATGGGAAAATTGGAAAATATTTTCCGAAAAATGTTTAACGCACCCATAATCGTGTCGCATTTTAAGGATAGATTTATTCCCGTGAAATTAATGATATCGTGGCTTGTTAAATAGAAAGTAAAAAAGAAAGGAAAGATTTTTTTAGAAATGGTACGATTGGTCGGTTAAATAATGTTATAAAGTTGAACTATAATTGAATGTGTAACACTTTAGGAAAATTATTAACCCGAGTTAGGGAAACATGGGGCATGGTGCACCCTGACTCCCAACGTCAAACAATTAATGACTTTCATCAAAATCAATGGATCTAAATGCAAAATCAATGAAGATTTAAAGGTAAAAGTCTAGGATCTATGTAACAACCCATTGTGAGGTGTCTTAAAATAAAGGATTGCATTGACAAGATTCAACTAAATTAGCGTGCAATTAACATCTGGCACTGGTGGTAAGTGGTAAAAAGACTTCCATAATTTTAAAACTGTTAGGCGTTTATACAACTTTGCTTTTCCCTTTGTGCTGCTAGCAAATTTCTCTACAACCAATAAAGATTAGGTCCCTTCACTAAAATTCTTGTCAAGCAGCCTTGATTTAACCTTTTTGACATTTGACTTGTTAACAAATTCTTCTATAAGGTGAAGTATCGTGTTTGCCAGTCTAAATCATTGGACCATAAAAATGGAAAAATATATAACAGTGCTCTCTTTTATATTTCACGGCAGGCTACTTTTGTCGTAACAGACTTTATTGTACATAGGAAAAAGTTGCCTAAACTTGTGTATATTCTGCTCATCCGTCACTAATTTGATGCTCAATATCTTCTTTTAATTTAGAGTAAAATAGAATCTTAAAAACCAGAGGCATGCATTTCTTATTCCTTCTTGGGGGTGAGTCTTTTAAGAACTGCGTGTATACCTTCAAGTTTTGATAAATCAAATAAGTAACCTAAACTATGAGATCGGCTAATTATATGTATATCAAGCCCTATTAATGAATATAATTTTCTTAGTCAAGCTTATTGAGAAAATAGGACTATTCGTCACTATTTGCTTTAATTTGAACATTTGAAATACTTTTTATCTATATATAATGTTAATGTGACTTGCTTTGAAGCAGTAGACTAAGCTAGTTAGGTGTCTATCATTAATCTTTGCATTTATCAATTGGTATTAGGCGAAATTATGTATCCTTAAAATCACATTATAAGTTTAATTGTTATCCAATCTTTAGGGTAAACAGTTTGGCGCCCACCGTGGGGCTAAGGATAATAGTGATTGCCTAGTGTTAATCCTCATAACACACACTGCTTTTATGCTTGTTCTCGTACGTGTTTTTGATTTCAGGAATCAACATGTCAAACTCACAAGCAGTGCCCACTCACACAGACACCGACTTTGGTCTTCATGGCGAGAACGAGCACATAGTCGCCCCGGGAAACAGTGTACCTCCAATCAATCCCGATGGACCACAGGTCGTAGATCCAGTCGATGTCAATTCTCGTGTTGCAATTCATGGAAATTTAGGCGCTGACCCTGAAAATAGCGTCCGCAGAGACGCCCGGACAGCCGATCAGAACGCACAAAGTGGTGAAGAAGGTGGGATTAGCCTTCGAATGATATTTGAAATGTTGCAGACTCAACAAGCTGCGATAGCGCAGCTCCAAAATCAGAATCGAGCACCAAGCAGAATCGAACTCGATGCATCACAGGAAGTTATACACAGGGTCGATCCTATACTGGAAAAATCGAACGATAACGGATCGGGAACTGACCCCGCCATCATGAAAATGCTCGAGGAGCTAACTAAATGGATCGAATCAGGAGAAAAGAAAATTGAGGCTAACGATAAAAAGGTAGAAACATACAACTCATGGGTTGATCAAATACCGGAGGCACCCCCGATTTTAAAGGGTTTGGATTAGAAGAAGTTCGTGCAGAAGCCATTCCCACCCGAGTGCGGCTCCGAAGCCCATTCCGAAGAAATTCCGCATGCCAAAAATTCCCCAAGTACAATGGCACCACTAATCCTAATGAGCAAGTCACTTCTTATATATGCGCAATAAAAGGAAATGACTTAGAAGATGATGAAATTAAATCTGTTCTGTTGAAAGAATTTGGAGAAACTTTATAGAAAGGGGCAATGATATGGTACCATAATTTGCCGCCCAATTTCATCGATTCCTTCGCCATGCTTGCTGATTCATTTGTAAAGGCACATGACGGAGCAATAAAGGTCGCGACTAGGAAATCAGACATCTTCAAAGTGAGACAAAAGGACAACGAAATGCTAAGGGAATTCGTATCTCGGCTCTAGATGGTACGCATGGACCTGCCCCCGGTCACCGATGATTGGGCTGTCCAAGTCTTCACCCAAGGTTTGAACGAGCGAAGTTCGATAGCTCACGAAAACTTAAACAGAATTTGATTGAACATCCAGCTGTGACCTGGGCCGATGTACATAACCGATACCAGTCAAATATCAGAGTTGAGGATGACCAGCTGGGAGCTCCTTCTGGTTCCATTTATCCGAATAGATCCGAAGGCAGGATTCAAAGAGACATCGACAGAGAGCCCCGATCAAACAGAGACTGGTACCAACCATACAGCGCAAATTATAGAAACAGTGGACCAGGACGCAATCCCGTTCGGAATGATCGAGGACAAAACTCCCGAGGGCTCATGAGTAAGAGTGGCTTCGATAAACATGTCGAGCCCAAAGAAGCGCCACGGTTGTTAGAATACAACTTCAGCGTCGATGCATCGGGTATTGTATCAGCCATTGGA